TAACTCAAAGTTTGTCATGCATCCTAAAGCACTAAGATGTATCAAAGTATGCGACTTCGATTTTGGTGGAACGGGATAAAAAGAGATGTATCTGATTTTGTTTCTAAGTGTTTTGTATGTCAGCAGGTCAAGGTAGAGCATAAACGCCTAGGTGGGCTACTTCAGCCATTATCAATTCTAGAGTAGAAGTGGGAACATATCACTATGGATTTAGTGATAAGATTGCCTAGGGCACACTAAGGACACGATGTCATCTGAGTAATTGTTGACTGGCTTACCAAGTCTTCCCACTTCTTGGCTATCAGGATGACCAATTTCTTGGACAAGTCAGTAAGAATGTATATCCAAGAGATAGTCAGATTACATGGAGTACTAGTGACAGTAGTGTCCGATGGGGACTCCAGGTTCATTTGTCGGTTTTGGTCTAGCTTTCAGCAAGCCATGAGAACGAAACTATCCTTTAGTACTGTATTCTACCCTCAGACTAATAGACAGTCAGAAAGGACGATCCACACACTTGAGGATATGCTCCGAGCTTGTGTTCTTGACTTCGGGGGCTATTGGGATGATCATCTACCCTTGATAGAGTTCGCCTACAATAAGAGCCACCAAACAAGTATTGACATGCCTCCGTAAGAGGCGTTGTATGGTTGCGTATGCAGATCGCCGATATGTTGGGAAGAAGTGGGTGATAGGAAACTGTTCGGCCTAGATCTCGTAGAGGAGACTATAGCTAAAATAGTTAAGATCAGAAAGAACATTCAGACGACTCAGAGCAGGCAGAAGAGTTATGCGGGCACCCGTAGGAGGGATTTGGAATTTGAGAAAGGAGATCGGATATTCTTTAAGGTCACTTATTTCAAGGGAATTAGTAGGTTTGCTAAAATGGGAAAACTAAATCCCCGGTTTATTGGGCTATTTGAAATCTTAGAGAAGATTGGTACCGCCTACAGACTGGTATTGCCTCTAGAACTTTTCAGGATCCACAATGTATTTCATGTATCCATGCTACACAAGTACAACCCGGACCCCTATCATGTCTTGGCCCACGAGTCCTTTTCACTCCAGGAGCATATGTCCTATGAGGAAGTATCGGTCGGTATTGTGGACCGAAAGAGCATATTACTCTGCAATTAGAAAATTTCTTTTGTTAAGATCTAATGGCAGAATCACACATCGAGAGAGGCCACATGGGAGGTAGAATGAGACTTCAGAGCCCAATATTCCCAGTTGTTTGATTGAGAGTGAGAGAGTTAAATTTGAGGAATAAAATTTTTTTTTAAGGAGGAGAGTTGTGATGCCCAAATTTAATTTAATGAAATTAAATTAATTCATAATTATAATTTTTAATTTAATTTAGTGTAAAATGAGAAAATTTGATGGAGATGAAATTAGAAATAATTTGGATCTGAAGGTATTTTAAAAGAAAAATTAAAAACTAGGAGTAAAAATGTAATTTAAGAAAGTTGTGCAACGTAGGATGCCCAGTCAACAGCTCCGATGAACTAGAATGCGATGCGTGGCAATGGACGCTGACGCAGTGCCACGCGGGTGATCCGCATGCCCGCTATCGAACGATCCAGATCCGTTCCTGCGTGCACGAATGGTCTGGATGCATTCCCTCCCCAAACGCGATCGAACAGTTAGATTTAAATGTTATCAACAGTTCAGATCTACTTCCTATTTAAACGCGATCGGATGGCCCAAATTATATCGCGATGAACGGTCCAGATTCACTTCCTATTTAATCGCAATTGGACGATCCAGATCAAACATGATTGACGGTCCAGATTAAATGAGGACGGATATAAATAACTCTTTTCACACCAAACACTAACCCTAACTGCCGGGAAGGAAGCTGCCATCGCCCGCCACTGCGTTGGAGCTCTTTCTGACCACCAAAAGAGGTAAAAAAATTTTTCTTTGCTCGAAATTCAATTTTAAACATCCCCATGGCCAAATTAGAGTAAAAGGACCGGCGGATTGGTCGAAAATTGCAGGCAAAACTCGTGGCGCTGCCGTGAAAAATTGTAAAAAATGCCTCCAATGAGGCCCTTTCTGATTCTAGTTTTGCATAATTTTTCTACCATTTTAATCACCATTTCCTTCTCTACAACTTGACCGAAGCAAAACACCAAACTACAAAGTGAACTGGCAGAGCTGCCGCACCGGAGAGCCTCGCCGCCGGTGAGTTTCGATTTTTTAATTTTTTTAGGCCAACCGAGGACCCTTAGAATGTTTCTCGCAGGGATTGATGGCAAAACCAGTCAAATTCGACCGAAAATGGTCGAAAACAGCCAACCCGATGCGGACCACCATCGCGGGCGTCGGCACCATCACTGGAACACAGCGAAGTCGCCATACCGGAATTCCGAAATTGACCAAAAAGAGGTCCTGATACTGTTTTTGGATTTTTTGGAATATTTGTAGGTACTTGTAGCGCGTTTTGATCTCCGAAGAAAAATTCAGGGAATCCGAAGATCATCAGTAAGCAGTCAACAACTTAGCTTTTTGGGCATCAAATTGAGTAAGAATCTCTCACCCTATTCTCTGTTACGGAATTGAAGTCCAATTAACAATAATATGGTAAATTATGCAATCTATGAAATATTCATAATCAATTACGGATTACTAATGGAGTCAGAACCGAAAATTATTCATTGCTGATTCTGTTGATTTATTTTACGATTTAAATGCATGATAGTATTTGATTATTGATTTTATAGTTTTAAATGCATGTATTATTTGTTTTGTATGGTTACTGTTGAATTGGGGAACTGGAGGTTAAAGGTAAACGAAAAATTGTGTGATTAAGTGAATGGATGAAACGACAGTCTCACTGGATATCCTGAGAGATGGTGGACGGATCGAGTCCATTGAAAACCCTAACGTGAACGTTGTCTCATACCGGACAGAGTATCGAGACTTGGTAATTTATCGCTCATACCGGACGGGGTATTGAGGTTTAGTAATTTGGTGTCTGTACCAAACGAGGTATGAGGACGGGTCGTTAATTGAGAATGTTAAAGGAAATGGTTCATGCGTAATAGGGATATCCATGTGAACCTCCATGGATACCAGCAGATTGACGAAAAGAGAGAGTTGCTGTTTTGATTAATTGAACATGAAATTATAATATGTGAATGTTATCGATTGAATATGAAATCATGATAAGTGTTATGCTATTATCTCTATAGGTTTTTTTTATAAATCTCGTTACGGTAAGTGGGTAGTAAATAAATTTATTATTGATAAATGAATTTGCTTAATTAAGTGCTCCATTAGTTGTTTTTGATTTTTCTACCAACTTTCATTTCTGTGTAGCGTGATATTTTTACTGGACTAGTGTAGTTCATTCCTTATTTACCCATTTTAAATTAAGAGGATCGGGATCCGGAGCGCAGTCCACAAGAGGGCTGTGAGTAGGATGCCAATTTTATTTTATTTTTTATTTATTTCCTTAATTTTTTATATTTTATTCCAAATTGTAATTTCTATAGCACTATTTGATGTTTTAAATCATTGTGTAAAGAATGTAAACCATAACTAATTATTTTACTTTCACACTTAATTTATAATTTATTTTATTTAAAATTCCGTGATCGTTACAATATCAATAAAAATCATGATCGTTTTATATTTCAAGTAAATTATTTTTTATTATTTAACAATTATATGTATCAATGTTAATACATACGTATTAAATTATCATTAAATATTTTCTAAACCTGATTTAATTAACATAATATACTTTTAAATTGTGATATTTTAAAAAATTGCATTTTTAGTTGTGATTTACCATGTATTTTTCTTTGAATTTTTTTGTTGATGAAATAAATATTTTATCTTAATTAAATAAATTACCATGCATTTTTAGTTTTTATTTTTGAACTATTAGAGCGCGAAATGCGTGCGAGTGCCAATTTTGTGTCTAGTGGGCCCTTAGTCATTATAAGATGACTATATATATATATATATATATACACATATACATATACATATTGGGTCATTAATCTAATTGGTACGTTTTTTTTATAGATAAAAAATTATATATTTTAGTCAAATTGTATATTTGTTTATTTAATCTTATTTGAAATTTATTTAAATTATATTATGAGTATATGATTACATAATTAATTAATATATAAATTTGCTTAAAAATTTATCTTATATAATAAATTCAATTATACAATAAAAATTTTTGTTAATATTTTATATATAAATATTACTTTATAAAGTTTACAGTTTAACTCAAATTTAGATAATTAAGTTTTCTTTTACTGTTAAATTTATATAATTAAGTTATTAATAAAAACGTAAATATTATATTAACATTCACAAAATAATTGAATTAAAAATTCGTTGAACCTATTTCAAATAAAAAAAATTAGATATCATGATATTTTAAATATAATGCTTGCATATCTCTTATATATAAATTTATATATTAAATCAATTCTATATCTACATATAAATTCGAGTTTTATTGTGTTATCGTGATTTAACATATAAATTTATATATAAAAAATTTAATAAATTTATTTTTATATTATAAATAAAATATTATTTTAAATGCATATTGATTTAATGTTTGGAATAATAAATTTAAATAAAATAAAATATTATTGGTGCCGTGAGAATAAAATATTTGAAAAAAATAGGTCATTAAACTCCCACTTTCTCATTTGAAATTTGACTCCTCACGAATTTCCCATTTCTCACCTTCCTTCAAGAATATTTTCTTCTTTAAATTTTTTGAATTTTCATTTAAAATTTAGAAAATATAAAAACACGCAATTAATCTTATTATTAAAAAAAGAAAAGCCACTTCCTTCGTGTGAGGGCAAAGATTACCTGTTATCACGTCCACGATGCCACGCAACGCGTTTGTTAGGTGTACCAGTTAGAAACTGCCACGTGTTTCGGAAGATTGAAAAACCTGTCACGTTTTCATTTTTAGATTTTCCTTATAAATAGCTGGTTGTTCTCGCGTTAGCTGGAGGAGAGAGAGACTCCTACAGGTTCGCCGGACAGATAAAACGGACTCAGACGTGTAGAAGGAATCCGGCGGATCGCTAGCCGGGAAAAAGCATTAGTTTTTTTTCCGGCGACGCTTTCGCCAGTTAAACGACGCCGAATTAATCATGCAAAAGCGAAAAGCAGAGGTCGCGAAGGAACTCGACCATGTCAGCTCACCGGGAGAGGAAGACGGAGCAGATAACGACATCAATTCAAGAAGTAATGGAAGTAAATATGATGAGGCGAAGAAGAAGAGTTTTAAGAGACGACTACTGAAGTACAAGGAGTTGCCTGAGTACCTGCAAGACAATGAGTTTATACTCGATTATTACCGATGTGAGTGGCCTCTGAAGGACGTATTCTTCAGCATCTTCTCTTGGCACAACGAGACTCTCAACATATGGACGTATGTGCATATGTATATATAAATATGTGTATATATGTACAATTTTATTATTGTCTGCGCGCGTATCGCCTATATGTGTAAAATTGATGTTTGATTTAAATTTGTCTTTCCTGATTGTGTTTTCTATCAGGCATTTGGGAGGTTTTCTGATATTTGTGGGACTGACGGTGGTCAGCGCCATGGGAACGATGGAGCTCGGAGGTTTAATTGGCGGTTTCTTCAGGTGAAGATGCCGAACTTGATTGTCATTTCCGAGATTGTCTGTCTCCTTTTTAGGCATTTTGAATGCAATGAATTTGTATAAAATATTGCATAAATTTCTCTTCCGTTTTCGTTGATTTGGTCGTTGAATTTGGCTTTTTCGCTTTTCGTGGGACAAAAATTCCAGAGGTCAAGTTTCGTGGCCGTTGATGATGATGATGACGAAGAGCGACGTGAACGTCTCTGATAGCAATCTGTTTCCGGTGAGCCTCTCTTTTTCTTTTTCTTTTTAAAATAATTTAAAATTAAAAAAATGGAATATTTTCTGTTAATTTAATTTATTTGTAATTTATTAATTTTTTGGGAAGATGAGGAAAATGGGCGGGACGTCACACCTCTGTGTTGGTGGGTATGGGGTCCAAAAAATGAGATAATCTGGGCTGTCCGATCTTTTTGAATAGTGGGGCCCTACGCCATGTGATCTTTTTGATTCCTTTTTGGAAATATTCGAATCCCCACTACTCACGCACGACTTTTATTTATTTATTTTTAAAAATTAGTAAATTCGATATAATAATTTTTTTTATTAGAAAAAAGGAATTTTAGAAAATTATTTTTTATGGTTTAGATTTGCTATTGGCATTTGGCAATAGTAACCAGAATCTTTAGACAACTCACAGCTTTGAGGGCCGTTCCAATGTCATCATCTACAATTTAATTTCAGTGCCTCACGTGCTTACCTTTTAAATTCTGTTCTTGATGGAGATTTGGTACTTTCCTCATATAATCTCAATTATTAATTAATTACCATATATAACTAATACTTTATTAAGCCTTAATTCATTTTCAAAATTAAACTCTTGAGAGAGATGCTTGGAGGGGACCAAGAGATAATCTTAATTAATGATCTACAAGATTTATGACTAAAATACTTGGGAGACCAAGAGATAATCTTAATTAATATTTATGACTATATTTAATAATGTTTACGCAAAAACATTATTAAATCAATGTGCCAATGTAAGCGAACTTTTAGTCAATATTACTGGACTTTTTCTGTCTACGTTAGCTGCTTATCAATTTGTATAGCATTTTTAGTTTTACTTGGTAGTTCTGTAATGGGATTCCGTAGATTAAGATATGTTCCCATCTTATATGTACTGCAAATTCTATTTTAAAGCTTAATATTCCTCATCCGTGACGGAGAAATATTAGCAACATTAGTTTAATCTATAGAGAAAATTTGTGGAATATTGATAAGCATCTTATGTTTTGTGTATAAACGATGATGATTTGTAATACATCATAGTTTTTTAGGGGAAATTTATGAAATGTGATTCTTTTTATCCTCCCATTTCAATAGTAAAAAAGAATCATGTCCCCCTCCGTCTGTTTGGAAAAATCTTAATATTTTGCTTCAGTTTCTTACTTTATTTCTCTAGTGACTTGCAATTTCATGTTACTTTTAATATCTACAGTCAGCATTACTATTTTTGAATTTTTAATTGTGGAAGGTTAAATTTAGCTCACACTTTAATACGTGATAATAGAATTCTGGCTGCCAAAGAACTTTAAGTTGAGGCTGTTAAAGGGCCTAAGGAGATGTTCTTATAATTCAGAAGTAGTAAATTATCTTATTATTTATAGTATGGTTAACAGATAAATCTTTTAGAATTACAAATAATTATGTGAGGCTCAAAGCAGACACAACTTAACTAGAAATAAGTGTTTAATTCTTTAATATTCACCAATTACAGCTTAACTAGATTATATTTTCGCGTGTCTTTTTATTTGAAAGTCATTTATTATATTAGATCACTTAACCATGTAAATATACATTATTTATTAAGAAAAATTTCTTCATTATTCAAGCCAAAACCTTTGGCAAATGCTTTAAGCTTTGAATTATTGCCTATTGTATTTCTGTTTCCTACATATATATATATATACAACAAATTTTCAAAATTAAACATGGAGTTCAACTACAACTGAATATATATATGTGTGTATATATAGATAAATGATATATGTATGTATATATATATATAAACGCACATATATGGATGTTTGCAGGATTCACACGAGTTGAGGCACATTCCACAGCCATCATCAGTTTTCAATGTACATAAAGAAGAAGGTTATGATGAAACTATTCCAAGATGGCCCTGGTTCGTTTTCCTATCGGGCGCAATGTCCTGCTTAGTCTGCAGCTCGATCTCCCACCTGTTGGCTTGCCACTCCAAACGCTTTAACCTCTTCTTCTGGCGCCTGGACTACGCCGGAATCTCCCTCATGATTATCTCCTCCTTCTTCGCCCCGATCTACTACGCCTTCTACTGCCAGCCATACTCGCGAATCTTTTACCTCACCTCCATTACCGTCCTCGGCGTACTTGCCATCATTACTCTCCTTGCACCGGCCCTCTCAGCTCCTTGTTTTCGTTCATTCAGGGCTAGCTTGTTCTTAGCCATGGGCTTCTCGGGTGTAATTCCAGCAGCACATGCAGTTATTCTCCACTGGGGAAACTCCCTTATATTAGTAGCACTTGGTTATGAGCTTGCCATGGGAGTTTTTTATGCTGTAGGAGCTGGCTTTTATATCACCAGAGTACCAGAAAGATGGAAGCCTGGTGCCTTCGATATTGCAGGACATAGTCATCAGATCTTCCATGTTTTTGTTGTGTTTGGGGCTCTCGCGCACTGCGTTGCCACGCTGACTATTTTGGACTTTCGTCGGGGATCACCAAACTGCGTGTGCTAGGGCTTATTCTTCTACATTTAGAGAGATCCTTTCTTTTTTTGGGGGTCAGGTTTATTTGTTCTCTTGTGATGGATCTTGCGTTGTACTTTTAAGAAGGAAGTAGCTTTGCATTTATTCCAAAGAAAGATTAGGTTGCAATACGGAGATACTTTTAGTTTTCTGAATATGACCTTTCAATTATTGTATATATTTCAAGCTTTTCAATTTTGGGAAACTAAAAGTTTACCCTTCTGATTTCACCTTATGGGAACAAATTTATATTATCAAAATAAATAAATAGATAAAATAATGAAATATTAACTACTAACTAATAACTAAAGATATCCCAGCTTAATACAATTGGTCATAATTCATAAAATCATGCATATTGAATTAATAATATAAAACTAGGAACAAGAAAAAGCTCTTAGCATTATTTTGTACACATTCCAAGTGATTGTTTCTCCTGGAAGTGTTTATTACTCCGGTTTTCATTCAACAGAAAAGAAAGAAAAAAAAAATTATACAAGGAATATTAGGAAAAGGATAAAAGTGAAAAGAACTCAAAGTCACCCCACAAACTATCCAGCAGATATCGCTAAGCCTTATACCAAGTGGAATATCAACAAACTCCCATCGCTGCAGAAAAATCAAATGGCATCAGAAGGTGTCGTCGCAGTTGGGTTTCATAGCCAATCATATGGCAAGCTCTGCAATGTAGCAAATTTTCTTTCTTGTGCTGCTTTGTAAAACTGCGTTGCTTTTAGTAACTCAGCTACATAGCCCTCTGGCTACAAACACGTCCTATGTTTCGGGTCAAGGACACGTCACTCTGTATCTAAGCATAATAGAATAATAATTCTTCAACTTGTCACCTCAACGAGCTCTGCTTCATTGTCACTGTAATCTCCCCAGCGCTTGTTCATTGGCTCTTCGACTTTTGAATCACTGGATATTTCTTTTGTGATGGTGACGTCGCTTGCAGCAGAAGAAACTGTATCATCAGGTTTTTCATTATCATATTGTTGATCGCGAGTTGTTAGATTGTCAGAAGTTTGACTTTCCTCATCTTGTTTTTTAGCAACTGGCTCATTTTCACCCCCAGCTTCTGTTGGAGACTCGTCGGAAACCTCCTCCGCTGCAGTTTCATTTTTGTTTTCGCCATCGTCAACAATTACAACTTCTGATGCATCGACTGAAACTACCGGAGTCGCTATGAAGCCATTTTGAGTCACTGGAATACCATTTGGCGATGCTGGGTATCCGCTTGGTACTGGGGATACAGGAAAACCATTGGAAGAGATCGGTATGCCATTTGGAGAAGCCAGGAAACCATTAGGGGACACTGGATAGCCATTGGGAACCCAAGGTTGGCTAGTAGGCACAAACTCAGCTGCATGAGGGTTCATTATTCTGGGAGGACTGAAGCGATTGCCTTCACCATTATGTTCGCTGTTGTGGAAGCCAGGTTTGTTACGTGGAACCCTATTTCCAGATCTGTTATAGCCACCGGAAAGCCTTGGGCCGTAAGGAACCCTAGCTGTTGCTGACTGATGAGGAGATCTGCGGACAGGATTAACTTGAAGCATTGGAGGGATATTCACAGGAGAAGGCAGGATTCCTCCATGATCTTTGAAACCTGGAACTGTAATTGAGCCAAAAACAGGGATTGTGGATGGGTTAAATGGTGGTGCAGATGCAGATAGCTTTTTGCTCGACTCTTTCCCGGTTTCTGCTTCGCCTTGCTTTGCTCCTTCAGCTGGAAATGGTTTCGTACTCGTATCTCCATTGGGTAAATCCTCCAGATTTCTCTCCTCCACTTTTTCTTCGACACTAGATGCATTCTTTTCCGACAGCAAATTTGTACTCTCAGCCAAAGCAGGTAGAGGTTCTAAATTGCAGGAAGCTTCTGTACATTTTTCTGGAACTCTTGTTTCTATGTTTGAACTGTCAGGAGCATCAGTATTATCAAATCTCAAATCTTCAATCTCTACATCTTCTTTTCTCTCAACATCATTACTTTCTGCTTCAGTTGGAACAGCTTCCCCTTTTATCTCTTCATCAGTATCAACCTTTCTTTCCGCTAGCGGTTCGGTCAACATCAATTCCATAGTTTCTCCTTTCTGCTCTTCGTCGACAGTGTTTTCCTTAGGAGGAAGCAGACTTTTTTCTCGCTTGGACTTTTTATAAGTTTCTTGTTCAACATTTGCAACTATTGGCACCTCAACATGGCTGACCTCCAACACGGTTGTCTCCTGGTTCATCGCTGGGCTTGATTCAACATAAATATTTCCTTTTGGCAACTGTTCTGCTACTGCCTTGACAATTGTCCCGGGTGGAGCCAAAGCAACTTCTTTGTAGGAGAATAATTTTCCAGCTGCCTGAACACTGATTGGACTTGCTACAGGAGTTGACTTGATTACTTGATCTGTCGAAGCTGGACTAGCTGGAGCTGATTTTGGGTTTACCGATTTCTCTCCACCAGCTGAGGCATTTGGATTATTTTGCTTCGGGCTGAAACTTGAACTTTTAACAAACTTCTTAGTAACAGGAAGACTGGATCCAGCAGAACTGGAAGACTCATTTGGGCTAGTTCTTGGGGATGTAAAACTAGCAGGTTTTCCTCGGTGCCTTGATGATTGGGATACATTCATAAAGTTTGTATTTAATTTTGCTAGACTTGGCCTCCTAGAACTGGAACTTTTACGACCAGTAGGATAGCGACTTTTAGGAACGGCTTCTTGCCATCCTTCATCTGAGGTATCATCTAATGCCAGCTCCTCATTCTTTATCAATATTAACTGGTCTTCGGTACTTGAATCAGGTTTCTCATTCGTTGGTTCTGCTAATTCAGCTTCGGATTTGTTTTCTTTGTCACTTGAATTCTCCACAGCCAGATAAGTTGGTGATACAGTTTCATCCTTCTGACTTTCATCTGAAACTGTTTCCCAATTTTGACCTGGTCTAATCTTAACCTGAAGAACAATAAGAACTCAGTCAGATAGTTTAGTGATAGGAAACAAGATAATTAAGAGATTAAAAACAGAGGTTAGTCAGTATGACCTTTGCACGAGCCTTCTTTTGAGCTTCCCTTGCTTTTATATCTGTATCTGGAGTTATATAATCCAAGAGGTCTGATACACTGATTTAAAATAAAAGTTACTTCATTTAATTCTCATTCGCCATGGTATCATATAGTTCTATTAGTAAAAAGCTATTTCAAATCTTGAGATGTTCCGAAAGAAGCTTTTACCACTCATCAATTAAGGCACTATTTGAGCATAATGTATTTTCAATAAAAAATATTGTAGTGCGGGTACCTTAGATGACCTTTGCTAGAGATTGAGGCATCTGGTTTTGGAGTACCATTGCGTGCAGCTTCCTGCTGCTCCAGAGCCTTGGACTCAAAATACTCAAGCCACGCTGCCGCATCCTACAAAAGCTTGTGGCATATAAATCCAAATAACAAAGATCACATTATGAAATTACATACAAACATTAGAAGTTCTAACTTTATGATACCTGTGTACGAAGATCTTCAGGCCCCAGTTTGGCCTGCAGAATTTGCAGGGTAGTTTGTTCATGCTGAACACTTAAGGAGTATGCTTCCATCAAAGAGAGAGCAATGGCAATAGCATGGTAGCTGGCAGCAGTCTGAGTAAGCCAGGAAATTGTTTAAGTGAAAAAACAGTTTCAGCTATCCATACATTCTTAATATCCACAAAAAGAAAAACTTTATATTCAAACAGATAGCTGCATGAATGTGCACAGGGCAGAAGCACAAAAGTTTTGGGAGGCCAAGTTTAGATGCAAATTATGCAGTCTATGATTGAATTTGTAGAGAAGGTACTTACACCCAACACTAGAAAAGGGTACCAGACAGTATCAATTCTAAACCAAGGCATACATGGATGTATCAGGCTTAACTTCGTATTGAGAATTTATAGTTACAATTAGTGATGGCACAAATTTGGTTTCTTGTCCTAAAACAAGTCGTCCTCAATCTCCAGAACAAGCCTCATCTGTTGTTGCTTTTGAACCTCAAACCACCTTTTTAAGCCTCCTTTTTTAGAAGTTACTAATAGACAGTCACAATAAGTTTAATTTTCATTGGAAACAAAATCATAAGAAAAGTAAACTTTTCATCTAACTCAATTGCTTTTATGTTCAGTAATATCTGAAGTCTATTATTTCAAAAAAAAAAAACCTGAAGTTTAAGTTAATGCAGCCTATTTAAATGCTGAATGGGATAAGAAACATTACACATTGTTAAATTAAGAAATTGTGAAATGCTGAGTTTATGAAGAAGAGAGTATAACCTGTATATGATCAGCTCCAAGGAGTCTCTGGTTACACTTCAAAGCTTCATGGAGGTACCTAAGAGCAACATGCACATTTCCCAGACCTTCTTCCATCATTGCTACATTAATATAGGTAGCAGCTGTATTTGGATGCGAAGGTCCACATGTTAAATGCAGAAGGTACAATGCACGATTGACATACCTAGGAAAAGGGAAAGATAATAAGTGAATTTGACTTCTTTAACCATCAGAATATTCTTTCATGCAGATCCAAAGATGAATCAGAGTCCACTACTAATTAAGAAAAATCTATTTTTCGTAATTAAAATAATGGCACTTAAGGACAGCATAAAAAGAAGCATGAGACATGCGAGTATCAGTGATGACCATTCCCTTTGCCTCCAATCACCATTTTGACTGCTAAGGCAGGATCCTTTCAACCCAATCATATATCCAGGAAAGAAGCATGAAAAAAAATGATGCATATGACGTGCATCCATGATGATGCTTAAATAGTTTAGTTTCTTATTGTAATTTTGAATGTTACATTTTGCCCCTCATACTAAAACAAAAAGAAAAAAGATAAGGATAATTTTTGTTAGTGCTCTCTAGAGATCACATCTTAGATCGTAAAAATACAGAAAATACGATTAAGTGCAAGATTCTACTCGTTAATGCTGAAAAATCAGAAAAAAAACTAGCCAACTACATTGGCTGGTATTTTTTCCCTTTTGGCACGTCTCTTATTTGGCAAGTTGTCTTCCTAGCTTTCAGAACAAATGGAACTTCAATAAATTCTAAACCATCATATCCTTGTTACTGCATTCGTAATATTAAAGGCTAAATTCTCTAATAAGTTCTTCTTGCTTTCCAGCTGAAGCTCAAACCTCATTTTGCAAAGTTAAAAAATTAAAAGCTGTGGAGCTGAGTAAGCAAAATATAGATTGTGTTTCTTTTCTCAGGATGTAGCTATGTGTCGTCCTTAGAGCCATAAATTGCTTAAGTGAGAAAATTTTGATCTAACAAATAAAAAAAAAAGCATCTGAGTTGGAAACAATGGGGAAACAAGAAGATTGTCATGATCACAAAAGAAACTTGAAGCAGAACTGTCTTAGATTTGAAGAAATGGAAGCATACTTCAACGCTAACTCTGTATGTTGTAGTCGATAGTAGAAGACAGCTAGATCCCCATAACTTTTCATTGTATCAGGATGATCAAGTCCAAGCTCTCTCTCATTTATATCAAGTGCTTTTTGCTGATAAATGGTTGCCTATAAAATTGAATAGGGTTAGCATCTTAGAAAGGTATACAGATAAATTCTACATGTTGAAATGAAAGAAGCAATCAGACTATCATGTTCAGATCTTGAAGACAATATTCTAGATAATCTGATCTTCAGATTCATGAACTCAGACAGTCTCAATTTATTGCTACTTTCCTGCCATCTATGGGCTACATGAATATTTCTAATTTTTCCTTTTCTCAGTCATTTTTTATTTATTAAAAATATGAATTAGTTAGTTCAGTTTAAGAGTAACTGATAGAAAATTTTATAAGATCACCTCCAAGACTATCATGAATTGAGTTTTTTGATCTACGTGGTTTGGAGTTTGGTACAGCAAACTTAGAACTGCAGAGATGAATTTACCTAAAAAAGGCCACTGTTTTTGCAGAACAGGCCTCTCTGATCCTACATTGCATTATGAGTAACAAATATCTTAAAGTCAATACCTGATTAAAGTCCCCAGTATGATAGAGCACTACAGCCAGAAGACTATATGCTCCAGCTGTCATTCGATGATAAGGACCACAGACTGACACCAGTTTAGAGAGTGCCTTCAAAATTCAATATGGGACATCAATTAGTTTTTGTTACTGTCAGAAAAGAATGATATGCAACATATTTTTCGGAGAAGACTGATGACATACCTTAGTGCCATAATTGACAGCATCCTCCAATTTACCTTTATCCAAGGATGTCTTGGATGATTCCAACAATGTACGCCCATCCGCAGAAGAACATGCAACATGCTGTATGAAAAACTACAGTGGTAAAGCACCTGAAAGATACTTAAAACAGTTCTCGGAATATAATTTCTAATGCAAAACATTTATTACCTTATACACAGGAACCATGCTTACAATATCAGACTTCTTAAAAGGAGATGGAGTGTCCATATCATAGTCCCTTGGAACAAGTTCAAGTCCAACCTAACGAAAAAGGCATGCAACTCAAAACCAGCAGACAAAATGCATTGAACCTAAGATAACATCAAATGTTAAAATATTAAAAGAGAGTTTATCATCATACCTTGTGTGACAATCCTCGAAGGATAGGGAACTTTCTCAAATCCTTGCAGCTTTCAGGTTTCCACTGCCAACCAAACCTCTTTGAAAGAAAAGTTTCCACCCACTTCCACTTCAGTTTATCATCATTACTTACATCTGCCTCAGCATTGGTTGGTGGCCCCAACAATACATTTAAACATGCTGCTATTGACCCAGCAAAGTCGGCAGCATTATCAACAGCAGCAACAACAGCTTGCAATATATGTTTATATGCACGAACAACCATTTCATGTATGCAGAGAGATTGCACATGAGGGAGTTTGTCAGCCAGGTCAACCTAAAAGGAAGGATGGGGAAGGGAGAAATATAAAAAATAATTGTTATTATACAGAAATTAACATTATAAACAATGAAAGGTAAAAGAAGTAGGAATTTTTGGAAGGTAAACTGCAAATGCAAATAATGAAGGAAACTTGACTTGCAAGTGCCTCCAGGAAATCAAACTTTACAATGAGAACACTGGAAAATGAATAGCATGATATAACAAAAAGGATTTTCTAATCTATCTATCTTCAAACCAAAACAATCATACTGAAAAAGAGTAGTAGAACATGAGAGCTTTAACGGGCTTTTGAATTTAAAGTATCTCTAAACCAAAATAATTATACTGAAAAAGAACAGTAGAACATAAGACCTTTAAATGCATTTCGATTTGAAAATCTTAAAACCAAAATGTCCCAGAAATATCTTCCAACAAGTCTTCACTATCTTGGACCTTTAAGGCAGACATAATTTATGACTTTAATTAAGAGAAAACAATTCCTCTCTTGATCAATAAAGCACTACTACCGCATAGGGGCAGAAAGACATTCATTAAGCTATGGCACTTGGAGCAATGAAGCAATAACAAAATTTAAGGGATTAATGAATATTTTTATTGGACAAAAGTTACCACTCTCCCCAAGGAACACATTTGCAAGCCTCTCGTGTGCATAAAATCTGTCAATGTCCTTCCATCAACTGGTGAAAGCTCAAGAGACCCAAAATCTGCCACCTATTAATTCCAAACCATAAGAACATATATATTAAGTCCCAAAAAACACCAAAAGGATATATAAATGTTGATCAGTGCACTAACCAGTTTCGGAAGAGCTGTATCAGCATAATATTTGTGCGCCATTTCAATCAACTCATCAGGTGACTGCCATCCAACACAGAAGTGGAAGAGAGTTAAACATAACATTAACTAGGCAAATCAAATATGAACCATCGAGACTATAGGAAATAAAATTTTCTTCAAAAGAAAAAGGAAAAATCATTTTAAGCATGAAGAATAGTGCCGCTATATAAGTTTTAATGAGGTCAAGTTTCAGGAAATGAAATGACTAAATCAATTCAGAAAATAACATAGATAAACTTTTAGCTTAGTGTTTCCTGTGAAAGCAGCAATAAAACCTTAAGGTGAAGACCAGTTTCTGATTCTTTTAGACGAACATATGCTGCTTCAGGAAGCAGCTTTCTCCACATCCTTTCCAGTTCCTCATCTTGCTTCTCTAGCTCCTTCTGATTGGTGGGTTCGCACTTTTTGTCGCTGTCAAGATTTCCACTTACAGGAACCACCTTGCCTTGGTCTATCTTGCCACTTTTCGTATCTATTTTCTTCTTTATCTCCTTTAACAGTGCACCTTGCTTTCCAAGACCCTTTACAGCTGGCTCGGGCTTAACATCTTCAGCTTTCTTAGAGTCAGTTTTACCTGCAGCCTGATTTTGCAAATGTTGTACCCAACATGCTCCTAGTTCCCACCTGATAGACCTCATATGTTTGGTGGGTTCACTTTCCAACATCTGCAAACTACTCTCTAAAACTTTTCTTACCAGAGATCTACCAGACCGTAAATTTTCTACATCTGCATTTTGTGATCGCTGAGCTGTACTAGATGATTGAGGTGTTGATGACTTGTGCAATAGCATTCTCAAGCTGAAAGATTTTGAAATGAAAATACATTAATATCCAACCACACTGTCATATGCGTGAAGGCCACCAAATCTTTAAATTATTAGCAAGTATGAGGTAAAAAACAAATAGGTAGGTTGGAAAGTACACGTATTATATACGGAAAACAAGCATCTATGAAATATGCAGTTGGTTGTTATTCCAACGTGTTCATGTAACTACATAACCAGAAATCCATCAAAATTACTAACCTGTTGACATTTAAGGCATTTGCACCTCCTTCAGGCTGGTCTTCAATATCAATGTCCTGCGGAATGGGGCTTCCTACCCAATTCACCTCTGTTGAAACTTTTACAATGGCTGTATAGCCACAATATCTTATAACCACAACGCCTAAGGTAGAAGTGTCCTACAATATCAAATGTGGACCGCATCAATAAGCAATTATTTATAAATGATTCAGGGAGTTACGAGAAGCACTTAGGAAAGAAAATATACTCCACCCACATGAACAGTTGCACTTTCATCAGCAGTAATGCCTTTAAGTAAGTTTCTTCTTGCAAGTTCTTCCTGTGACATTCCAAGAACCCAACTCCCGTCATTTTTACAATCCAACTTGGTACTGGCATCGGACCCATCTCTGATCACCTTTATAACCAAATCCCCAACTCTTTCTTCAAGCAAAACTGAGGCAGCAGGATCATCAAAAGAATGATCACTGTCAATGAGATTCCTAATTGCTGCAACAGCTTTAAAAACTGAAACGTCGACAAATAAACTATGAAGTAAGAAGGCTTTCCGGTCTCGAATTTGCCTCTCTTCTGCTGTTTTACAAGGCATTGCTGCCAAAATTGCAAAATCCTTTGCCCACTGTCTGTTGTCATTTTTTCCATCTCCTCCTTGCCCGCCCCCATTACCCCCCCAGTTTTCATCTTCCACAGGAAGCAGCGGAAAAACAGATGGATTATCTGCAACAACTGGAGGGACAACCCATGTATTTGCTCGGAAACCATAAGGAAGATTGCCAAACTGAAATGCAATATCATTGTCAAATCATGCTCCCTGATTAAGAGTTATGAGCCAAAATATAAAGCAAAAGCAAGTACATCCACATACTTTATTGTGCTCTGTGAAAGCTTTCATGAGAGCTTTATACGCCTGCAAACAATTAAGGTTCATGAGTACTAATGAGCAGCATTTGAAAAACATGCATGAAAATAGAGGATGTTCACATGACAAAGCTAACAATAATAATGAAGGACGAAAATCATATCAAACTTACAGCATCAAATGGCCTGCTTATTTCTTGCAGCAGACCGACCAAAGAGTGACAAAGAAGAGGATATTTTCCTGCAGGGTAGAAGCCTTTCCTTGATGCAACAATCGTTATTGGCTTCCCACTAGTAACCTTAACCTACATCCGGTTCCAAAGAACAAAGGAAACTCAATGCAATCATCTCGTATCTCTTAATGTAAAAGAATCATTTTAAAGAGGATCCTCACATCAATCTGAAAGAAATCATCTTCCAGTTTATCCTCAAGAAATGGACGAGTAGATCTCCGAATGTCTGAAAGAAGCAAAATCAAAATAATCAAACCACACAGGAATTCAGAAATACTACTAACAGGATTTGTAAATTAAACTCCCATATCTAACCTTGGTCTTGATGCCCTCACCGTTAATTAGACAAAGATGCAAATTTCACTGTTCTCAATTTTGAATTTCAATAGAAACGCAATCATTTGCGATAACTTTTCATTTTCTATTTTCTTCATAGCTAAGTTATGTTTCCGAATCACAATATGATCTACATTTACATCATTTATTAAACAAACATAGCCATAAAATAAAAGAAAGTTCAACTCCATAAAATGCATATGCTCACCAAATACAATAAACAATAACTCATAAAGCACCTACTAATAAATGATGTCGATTCTATCGTTACAGTTAATATGACAATATGAAAATCTAAATGGATGTGAACTCTAGTGACTATCCATAAACTAATGAAAAGAAAAAGACAAACTCACATTGAATCGGAGGATTAAGGTGCGAGAAGGAGAAGAAATCATAGAACTGGCCGAGGCGAGGGGGCGGGCACATTGACACGCCGCCTTTCTCTGCACAGTCAGACGCATTGCCACATGTCTTCTTCTCCGCCGCTTTTGGCTTCGACTCAGCTCCGGAAACGGAATCGGTTCCATTTTTGTCCGAACCAGGCGCCTCGCTCTCGCCCGAACCGGCCTCCTTTGTCCCGGGATCCTTGACACTGGTCCGACTGCCGGATTTTGACGAACCGAAGAAGGTTGTGCAAGCGACGATGTCAAGAAGCCGACGGACATGAGCAATCGCTTGCTCTTCTGTGTAGTCCTCTGCAGAGAAAAAAGAAAAGAGGGGGAAAAATATGTCAATTGCGCGGGACGACGATGATTTAGCGCGGGTGAGATAATGAACGTGTCTATTTATAGCCGTTAATACCTTCAACGATAGACACGTGGCAGGGTTTGAGAGACACGATGTCAACGGAATCTTTGAGTCTATGACCTCGCACCTGTAGAGAATTGCAACTCTTCAATTTTCTGTTATTGGTCGGTATTTCCGTTAACTTAGGCGTTTAGGTCCAAGTACTTTTATTTTCCACTGTACTTATGATCTAAAAGGCCATGGTCCACGGAGCGTCCTAACCATTATGGGCCTGATAGCAAGATACGCAGCTAGCTATCACAATCGATGTGGACCGTCCGATCGGCGTGGGCCGGACATAATCAAATTACGGTACGACCAGGAAGAAGAGTCCGTAAATCAGACGGTCGATATGATTCTTTACCGACTAGTTCTGACAAGTGTGAGCTCACATGATCTCACGTTCACTAATTCTTTTTCTGACAAAAAAAATAAATAAATAAAAATTTTATACCTCGTGAGATAGAGAGAAGTTGGTTAAGTGACATGTCTCGACGTGGACCCCTACAAGCTTTCTTACATCCAAGATCCTGTCCGTAGAGATACCCTGCGTAATTATTGTTTTTTAAAATTATTTAATAACTAAAATTAGTATTTAGTGTTAATATTGCATATAAGCTTGAAAATTTACTGTAATGTTAAAAGTAATTACGAGGTAAAAAACTTATACCTTGAGGGTCACTTGGGACTCGTCTGGTGTTTCAACGGTAATTTCAACCACGGTGGGTAAAACTGTAACAATCATTTTCATTATTAGTTAAACAGCAACGAAAAAAAAGAAATCAACAGACCGTCATTGCTATAGCAGTGTAAGTAATGTTACTAATGCGGATAGCTGGAAGAAAAATAACAGTATCTGGATTGAAAAATAAGTTTTTGTTTGGTTGGTGGGAAAGTACCAGGAAAATGGGAGGTAAAAATCTTGAACAATATATTTTTTTGCCATCTCGAATACTATTTCAAGCCACCGAGTGAAACCCATGAATCAATTTTTAATCAACTATTTTCACCTAAAAGATATTATTAGTTAACGTTAACTTCTGAAGATTGTTAAGTAAAGAAGAACAGCTGAAGCTTGAAAAGGACTGTTGAAAATTTTCTTGGTAACCAAATGGGAATTCAGTAATCAATCAATACTCGGTGTAACCATAAATATGAAGAAGAAATGATGAATATGTATACATATATAGAGAAATTAATTATATGTATATGTGTTAATATGAATATGAATATTGAAAACAAAAAAAAAAAAAGGAAAGAAGAAGAAGAAAACCTTTCTCTTCCTTCTTTTTCTTCTCTCCCTTTGCTCTATGAGGCTTTGCCTTTCCTGTTTTTGGAGCCATTGTGCATCAAAAGAACTCAGTGGATATATATATATATATATATAGATATAGATATATAATGTTTACACGAGATTAAAAAAAAAAAAAAGTGATGGGTTCAAATTGGTTTTCTTCTTCTTTGAAGATAATAATAAGCAAGAGGCAGACACTGAATTATAAACGGAGTGAAAAAGAATATGCTGAATTAATCAATATTATAATACTGAAAGCTCCTGTGAAGAAGAGAACGAAGAAGGAAACAAGGGAGGAAGATATAATTTTCTGAAGAACAACAATTGAGATGAAAGTATTAGTTATTAAGGGGGAGTTAAAGAGGGAAAGTTGAGAAGAAGAAGGAGAGAAGTGAAGAAAGCATTAAATGAAATATGGGTGTAAATTTAAATAATGAAAAAATTAAGGGGTAGAAAAGAAAAGAGCTTCGAAACGAGAAAAGAGAGCTTCTGCCATTGATGAGGAGGAAAGGAGAAGGAGAGAAGGAATAGTGAAGAAGAAGAAGAAGTAGATAGAGTGTGATAGAGGTGGATAGGATAAGGTGAGGCCATAAGGCTTTTTCTTGTACACAAGCAAAGAGAGAAAGAGAATGTAAGGCTAGAAATTTCAGGCCTCTCGTTTTTTCTTTCCTCTTTCTCTTTCTTTTTTTTTTTTTTTATATTGAGTTTCCTAAATTGGGTCTCTGATCTCTCTCGTCTTCTGCTCCAGTCTTGACTTCCTTTGAAGTTATATACACACATACATACACATATATATATATATATATAACCGTTAAAAATATGTAATTAACAGTTTATAAATTAGTGATTATATATATATATGATTAATAAAATTTTAATTTTATTGTTAATTCTATTTAAATTAATGAAATTTTGGTCGTTAAAATGTTTAATGTTACATATATTTGTAATATTATCATATTTATTATCGAATATATTAAGATTTTCATTTAAATTTTAATTATTTATTTAGATATTTATAAGATTTCACTTTGTAATTAAACATTGTACAACACCTGGGGGCTCACTAGCTATTATGATCCAGTAATTACTTACATAAAAAACTTTATATTATAACATGTCACAAAAAGTGGACAGTTCATATTGCCGAAATAATTTAATTTTAATACTTATATTAGCTGTCACATTAATTTACGTGAAAAAAATTTTGTTTACCATTTTATTGTTGCAAGTGAAAATTTGCACCAATTTTTTTTAGCCATTAAATATATTTAAGTTAATATATGCAATACATTCGAGTGAATATATAATGAAAATAACTTTTTTATTGCCACTTGGTAATTTAATTTATATTTTATATGTTTTTCAAATTTACTTTTAAAAAATTAAATAATTATATAGTTTAGTTAATTATACATTTTTAATTTTTTATTCTAAATATAGTTTTAAAAAATAAATTATTCACGTAAATATAAAAAAAAATAGAAAATACAAACAGAAAATTTCATTAGTAGTCCGGACGAGCGGACAGAAATACACACTTAAAATTATTCGTACTTTGATAATAATAATAATAATTTATTTTAAAAATTCTCTTTATTTTTATTCTTTCAAATTTATTTTTTAAATATCACTTTTTTGTCATTTAAAAAAATAATTATGTAGTTTAATTAATTATATACTTTTAATTTTTTATTCTAAATATAGCTTTAACAAATGATAATAAAAATAAAAATAAAATTAAAAAATAAATTATTCGCATAAATACAAAAAAAAAAATATATTTAAATAAACTAATAAGTAGTTCGAACAAACAGAATACACACTTAAAATTAATTGTACTTTGATAATAATAATAATAATAATTACTATTATTTTTGGCTTTTTCATTATGCTGCTTAAAGATAATTTTTTATTTTAAAAAAAATTAAAAAATTATATATTGTATTAATTATATAGTTTATATAAATAATTAATAAAATATAACAAGGCGCCAACTTCAAATAATATGATTATCAATAATTTACTTTTTGAAAGGGATAATAAGAAATGTAATAAGCGAGTTAACAGCCGCCGCGTCATCCAGTAACGGGACCAAATGAGCTTTGCTGTATGGCTTGCGGTGTCTTCGTCCCCACCGTTGTGCTGAAATTTCCATCCACAAAATAAAATTACCTTCGACAATTTCATAATTCATGTATTTTTAATTTTTGTGTAAATTAATTGTTTTGATTTTTAAATAATTAAAATTGGGTATATTTATTTATAACCCTTTTTAAGAATGTTATAATTGTTTATATATATATATTTTAATTTTATGGTTAAATAAATAAGCACAAAGTTAAAAAATTTAATTACTTGGTATGAAAAGTGGTCTATTGAAGGGGTCACCTTTGTGTTTCCATAAGTAGATGACAAGGCAAATTATAATGACACAAAAAAGAAAAGAGAAAGCAGAAAATAAAATATTTCACATTTAAAAGTTGTTTGTCTAATTGGGTATTTAATCTTCCATCACCTACATGTTTTCACAATTTCGTAGTCAGTGGCAAATTCTTGGTTACCATATGTGTATGTATACGTAAACATATATGGCTAAAATTTAAAACTACTTTTGCAAAGGGGGTTACAATTTTGACACTTTAAAATAAATTAGAAAGAAGTCCGATTTGAAAGTTTTTGATTTGGTATATTACTAACCAAATTTAAAAGAATGGCAAAAAGTAGAATTTCCGTTGTGATTATAATTTGATTTTGTTTTTATTTAAATTTCGTATCACTTTCGTGATAATTTACTACGTTATAATGTAGCTCTAAAAACTTTTATGCCTCGTCTA